AAGAGTCTGTAATAGACCTACATGAATAAATATTTTGAATTTGGAATACGAGCTGAGTTTCTTGTCAGTTCTTCTCATCTCGAAATCATTCCGAACTGACGGTAAATTTGACATATCATAAGAGTCTGTAATAGACCTACATGAATAAATATTTTGAATTTGGAATACGAGCTGAATTTCTTGTCAGTTCTTCTCATCTCGAAAGCATTCCGAACTGACGGTAGATTTGACATAAAATAAGAGTCTGTAATAGACCTACATGAATAAAGATATTTTTAATTTGAATTTGAATAGAAAACTCTCATATTGATACATCAATACAAATGCTTGGAACCAGCGGCCATCAGAAGTAAAACCATTTTCTATATTCAAAGAACTAGAAGTGTTGCTGGGACCGACACTATGTTGTCGGTTGAGATGATGTATATTACAAATGATAGACTGTCAAAATGTAAACAAAGATATTTGATCTTCTAAATTAAGACGGAAATTTAAATTTACAACTATGAAAAAACCATACGTAGCCTTTCATAGACCATTTGCGAAGGTCTCGCATATAATCCGTAGCAATTGGCAGTATAATTCGCAAGTCAAAATGAGAAGGGTCGCGGAGTCAGGACGTGACCTGTCCGCGGATAATAAAAATATACGGCACCGTGGTTAAGATGCGGCTGCATGTGGGTTAATCACTTGTGGACACCGTGAAAGATTTATGGCGACAAATGACGAGACAGTTACGGCATATGTAAATAGAACTAGCTTTTTCCCGCGGCTTCGCTCGCGTTAATTTATCCCTTAGGGGTGGAATTTATCAAAATCCTTTCTTAGGGGATGCCTACGTCATAGTAGCTTTATGCATGCAAAGTCTCAGCCCGATCGGTTTAAAATTGACAAAGTTTCATACAATGTTTCATCAAATTCATAAAAAATAAGAAGTAAAATATAACAATTACATTACAATCAATGTAATGGATCGGGGGATTGTATGGGTGTCTAAATGATGAAAACACGAAGTTTACGATAATACTAGCTTTTGTCCGCGGATTCGCTCGCGATAATCTATCCCCTTAGGGGTCGAATTTATCAAAATCCTTTCTTAGGGAATGCCTACGTCGTAGTAGCTTTATGCATGCAAAGTCTCAGCCCGATCGGTTTAAAATTGACAAAGTTTCATACAAACTTTCATCCCCTATTTTATCCCCTTGGGGTAGAATTAAACAAAATCCTTTCTTAGCGGATGTCTATGTCATAACATCTACCTGTGTGCCAAATTTCAGCCCGATCCGTCCAGTGGTTTGGGCTGTGCGTTGATAGATCACTATGTCAGTCACCTTTGAGTTATATATATTTAGATTACCAAACCATCCTTCATTGCATCTTACCCCCAAAAACTCAAAATAGCGGATCTATTATCATTACATAATATAAAACAAACTCGCTGTCGCTCTCTGTCCGTATATGCTATATATGCTTTCACCTTTAAAACCATACAACGGATTTTGAAGCGGTTTTTTTAATAGATAGAGTGATTCGAGAGGAAGGTTTTTATGTATAATACATGTACACGCGGCCGAATCCGAGGCGAGTAGCTAGTTATATATATTACTGTAAAGTTACATCAAAACAGATGGGATATGAGCACAATATTGTGGAATCACTTTCCAGTAATGCTATTTCTGAGCCGATACGATATAGAAAATCCTATCAAAATCGGTCCAGCCTTTTCAGAGATTAGCCGGAACAGACAGACAGACAAAAATGGTAAAAAATGTAATTTTGGTATATTCATATACATGTAGTAAAAAACGGTTATTTCTATATTACCAACAGACACTCCAATTTTATTTATTACACTTTGCGGTTTTAGTAACCAAAAACCAGCATTTTTCGAGTATATTTTAGTAGTTCACCTTCTTTTGTGTGTTTACAAAATGACCAATTGTTATACATATATAAACATAACAGAGTTAGCGGCAAAAGAAAACAAAACAAATTACGAGTCAGTAATTCTGAACATAACACCCCAAAACATTGATGTATTATATAACAATTTACTAGAGATGAGGTGTGACATTAAAAGACAGCGACGAATAATGTGATTAGAGAAGTGTGAATTGGAAGTGTGAACTAGTGTGAAATGTAATGATCAAAGATAGAAAACGTGATATTATTATTTGATAACAAAATGAATCATAAAAATATAATAATAATTATAAATCTCAGGACAATTCACACAGCGCCATCTAGACTCAAGTAAAGCTTGTGTTATGGGTACTAGATAACTGATACAAATACATAGATTTTTTTTTGTGAATACATACATAATATACGTAGGAAACACCCAGACCGATACAAACAATCATACTCATGAATACAAATGTTTACCCTGCGAGGAATCTACTCTGCTATAGGAACTGGACAACTGATACAAATACATAGATTTTTTTGTAAATACATACATAATATACATAGAAAATATCCAGACCGACAAAACATGAGTATGATACTCATGAATACAAATGTTAGTAACATGCAAGGAATCGAATCCCAGACAATTAGATGTAAAGCGGTATCCTAAACCGTTAGATCATCGAGGTCATCAAAATGAGAACGCAGAAAATAAAATGCAACAGCTTTATCTGTATTTCGCTGCTTCCTTGTCGTTGTGACGTCGACGTTTGCAGCCAAATCGAATGGAAATTGGGCAATAGCGTGTAGTTTCCTAACTATACCAATTTGCAGATTTTCTAGTTCAATTTTGAATAGATGGAAATCGTACATGATTACAGATGTGTAAACGCTGAAATTTGACGATTTCTGATAATACTTCTATATTTTTTTTTTTAATAGTTACGCCCTTATTTCCATAGACTGAAGGTCCATGCCCTTTTTTGCAATTTTATTTCTAATCCTGTCTTTATATATATTTTTTTTGCACACCTTCATTGCTCCGCGCAAAATGTACATTGTGGCTTCCCGCAGTTATTTTTTTTTGTGTTTATTTTTTTTTTATTTTATTTTTCTTTCTTTTTTTTTCCTCTTTTGTCTGTTTTTTTTTTCATAATACATTATATTGTTATTAGTAAATTTCCTACGGGGAGCCAACGATACTGGTTAGTTACTGTATACATTTACCATATTTACATTAAAGTTATTATATTTATTATTACGTCATTCACTGGTTTTGTTCCTTTCATATACTAGAATTCATTTCAGCGCTCCATATATGTTTATTTATTTCTGTTTATTGTTTTGTTGCTATTTTTACAGCGAATTCAATGAAAGTGTCTGTTCCATTTTCTACTATTTCTGCCAGTTTTCTTATATTTAGTGTTTTATTTAGCCTCTGTTCTATATCATACCTTTCTCTGGCATACATTTGGCATTTAAGTAGGATGTGTGGAATGTCCTCAGATTCCTCAGGGTCATACTCACAACTATATATACTTCTCTATATTATATATTATATTATATATATTTTGCCCACGGCTTCGCTCGCATTAATCTATCCACTTGGTGGTGGAATTTATCAAAATCCATTCTTAGGGATGCCCACGTCATAGTAGCTTTATGCATGCAAAATGCAAAGTCTCAGCCCGATCGATTTAAAATTGACAAAGTTTCATACAAACTTTCATCCCCTATTTTATCCCCTTGGAGCTAGAATTAATCAAAATCCTTTCTTAGCTCCTTTCTTTTAATTTATACTAACGATTATATACGTCTTCATCATAGTAGCTCCATTCTTTAATTTCAGTTCAATAAGTCGAAAATCTATGAAGATTTATACAAACTTTCATCCCCTGTTTTATCCCCTAAGGGGTGGAATTTATCAAAATCCTTTCTTAGCGGATGCCTACATCATAACATCTACCTGCATGCCAAATTTCAGCCCAATCCGTCCAGTGGTTTGGGCTGTGCGTTGATAGATCACTATGTCAGTCAGTCAGTCACCTTTGAGTTATATATATTTAGATTGCTGTATCTGGGTGTTGCTATATTTATAAAAAGAAATCACCTATAAAACAAGCTCTACTAAGCTTGGGACTAGATGGCGCTGTGTGAATTGTCTTGAGGTTATTATTACATGTAACAACAATTACCTACTGAAAACTATGAAACTATTTGACAGCCTCGATGGTCCAGTGGTCTAGCATACCGCTTTACTATCCGATGGTCGCGGGTTCGATTCCTCGTACGGTACAAACATTTGTATTCATGACTATGATTGTTTGTCTCTGGGTGTTTTCTATGTATAATAATACATTATGTATTTATTTACAAAAACAAAATGCATCCATGTATTTATATCAGTTGTCTAGTGACCATAACACAAGCTTTGCTTTGCTTGGGACTAGATACCGCTGTGTGAATTATCCTGAGATATTATCAATTATTAATCAATACTATTTATAATTAAGAACTTGGCCCTTGTACTAAATACAAAATTGCACTTTTGACGCATTTTTATATTAAATCCAATTATGTCCACTTAAGGTCTACTTTCGTTCTTCTTAAAATATACTTTTTATACTGATTATCTGGTATTTATGACTTCCAATAATGATGATTTTGGAACGCAACGTTTGTTAAGTCAAATAGTATAAGATATAATATTTTTTTTTTAAAAAGGAATAAGTGATCTTTTAATAGTTTTTTTTTTTATAAACAGAGACATGGAAGAATTTCTGAGTTATCTCTTAATCATAAATATTGATATAACTAAAATTAAACAATAAATGTAGAGGTTCAAGAGTATAGTAATTTTGATATAATCTATACAATAGAATCGTGTTTAGTTCACACAAAGACGTTATCCAAACAACTAACAAACGGTAAGTTACATCAGCTGGTATATGATCATAACCTCTCATTTCTGTCAAATGTAACCACCACATAAACAAAACCGGGTTGAAATAGTAACTAGAATTTTATTAAATAAAGTGCACTCGAAAGGCTTGAACCCTGCAACTGGCGGGTCACCCTTAATTACTACGTACCTAGTTTTACGTTTTTCACTAGCGTTCCTTTCGCACGGGCAGCACTTGGGGTTGGTGTGACAGGGATGGAGACAACGCGAGGTTGAACGCGAGGCACACCCGCACGCGACGGCGGTGCGAGGCTTACTAAATCTGTGCTGTTCTCAGCCAGGTCAGGTCGAATATTGGGACTCGTCCAGAGGAACTTGGAATAATAAATTGTGTAAATGTTTTAACATCACGCCCTTGTTTTCGACAATTTGTTGGGACATTGTGCGTTAGAATGAAATTTGCTGTTGGCCATTTAATCTTGATGCGGACGCCCCTTTAGGGTGTAAAGTCAAGATTAGATTATTAATTTATTCGTATGTTTGTTAAATACAAATAAAATACTCTATTGGATTTACGTTTAGTATATAAAGTTACTTATTTATATTTTTGGGATATAAGTAGGCTCAGAGAATAGAATAGATTGGAATAGAATGGAATAGAATGGAATAGAATGGAATAGAATGGAATAAAATGGAATAGAATGGAATAGAATGGAACAGAACAGAATAGAATAGAAAACCGTTTATTCAAATAAATTTATGTTAAAGCACTTTTGAATTGTCATCACATTTTTTTTCAATATACTGCTCATTCGAAAAGAAGTGAAATACTCAATTCATGTTCAATGAATGCAAGATTTATAATGTCATCTATTTGAGAATTTCTTCTAAATAAACATGTATAAATTATTTCTTCTTTACATGGTATAAAAAATAATATAAAATGTAGTCATTTCCGCTGTCTGTTCGCTTAGATCTTTTAAACTACGCAACGGATTTTAATGGAGTTTTTTTTGTAATAGAAAGAGTGATTCAAGAGGAAGGTTTATGTGTATATTACATGTCCACCTATACAAAGCCGGGACATATAGCTAGCAATTTATAAATGTAAAAAATATCTGTGGAGAATTCCTAAATTCTTGTACAAAATCCAATCAAAACGGAGCATAACTATTGGTTGTAAGCAATTGGTACTGACTGACATATATATTGTTATATATATATATATGCATAGAATAGCATCCAGGATAATACAAATAGATATACATAATATTACAAATGTAAATATGTATTGTATGAGGATTGAACCTATGACTATTTAAAAGAAATCGAGTGCATTAAACATCTACTTAATATCTTTCATTGACAGTGTTAATAAGTTTAAACTGTCTGCCAAAATGTCCGCCATCAGATCATGTAATTTGATTTACCGAATAAGCAATAGTAACATTAACTAGTACCAATCTGAAACAGGCTTTATACAGCATCCCACACACACAGGCGCAGCGTGTTGTCAAACTCGCACACGTGCCTCCGCACATCCGCATCCTCCGTACAATTTGATACTTGTCTGAACATGTACGGTTACATTATATTTGTGTTAGTTTCCCTGAAAATGGCCGCCACGCTTTAGCGCATGCGCGTGAAAACTTACATATCTCACCGCTGCGGTTTTGCCAAGGAAATTCAAACTCTACGGCTTTGTGATAAGAGTAGTGTATTCGTTGGGGAACGGTAGAGTTATAGTGGTTTAAGAATACGGCGGGCTTTTGAAGTTTGGAGTTGGGTTAGGTAAAGGACACTTGCTCGTGAAGGGAGCGTGGAGTGAATTAAAATAAGCGTATGTACCTTTGATATAAAGCTGAGCGGAATGTAGGCTAGGAAATTGGTGGTTGCAACTTTATTTTTTTGTAGTCCTCCCCGGAAACTATTTGTACACCCTTTCCTGTTATATACAAGTCGCTCCGAAGTTTACTACAGAGTATACACGTTACAATGTAGGTTTAAGTGTATATGATGAATAAGATGTTGTTTTTCAAGCCCCGATGTAAACAGGATGCTCGAAGTTTCAAGGGACTATATGTATCTTTTTAACTTTACCGCTAGCCTCAATTTTGTTTTGAAAAAAAAATCTAGTTTTAATTATACGTCTAGGATTGCACTTAATTTGTAGTTTTTTTTAGAATAGAATAGAGTAGAAAATCATTTATTCAAATAAACTTACGTTGAAGCACTTTTGAATAGTCATCACAGTTTTTTTAATCTACCCCTCATTCGGAAAGATGTCTCATCACAAGAAGAACGAGCAAGAAACTTGCGTGTTGCTCTTTTAAATAATTTTATTATTACTTTACATTTTTAAGTTTAAGTGTGTGAATACAAACTACCAATTAGCACTAATTCAATTAAATAATCAAATAGAAAAAATATTGAATATATAACCAACTGGTTAAACAATTAATAAGAGGAAATCAGTCATAGTGATTAGAGCAGACCAGTCCCTACAAGCAGCACCCGTTCACGAGTATGACGGATGAGCCAGCCATCACTGCATTCGACCATATTTTATGGAGCCCAGTGACCCGGCCCACCACGCCGCCACAAGTCTGGACATTTTAATGAGCATGACTACTCAAAACACCAGACCACGTCAAAGCTACTTACAATTGCCATCTGATAGTTATAGTATTCACATTTTACATGATCACGGGTAAAATGAAGAGCCGCTTTCATATTTCTAAAATAATTGAATCAAGAAAGCAATGAGATATTAATATATAATTTTAATTTAAACTAACGGAATAAATAGTAAAAATCACGTGATCTTACCACGTTTTATATTTATTTGCTGAGTTCCCGATATTTCGGCAGTGTTTCAACCACCATGATGGAACTTAAATTTAAGAGCCGTTATTGGTAGATGGAAAATGAAATCTTTGTATAAAGAAAATATCTTCTATTGTTCAAGATTTTTATTGACATATCGTATGAAACTCGCTTGATATTCATCTCCAAATATATATATTTTACGTTCATTTAATACACTATATTTCGATCGCTGTTTTCTGTTTTTTACAATAAGATCCCGTGATTTTTACTAATTATACGTATAAATAATGACCGCTTCATGTTTAAAACAATATATATCGGAATAAAGTTTATTGAAATATGTATTTTTAATTTAGTATATTTTTATTTTTATTCAACAGTTTAGCATATCATTTTACTTTCTATTGTCGCGGGTTCGATTCCTCACATGGTACAAAGTTTTATATTCATATTATTTTTTATATTATTGTTTATTGTTTTCTATATATATTATGTATGCATTTACAAAAACTATATGTCTTGGTATTTACATCAGTTGTCTAGTACCCATAACACAAGCTCTGCTTAGCTTCAGACCAGATGACTCTATGTGAACTTTCCTATATTATTATTATTGTTATTATCCCTGCCGAAGTGTTGACTACAATGCAGAGCAATTAGCAACTGATACGTTTTATACATACACTAGCTACTCGCTCCGGCTTCGTATGAGTGTACATGTATTATATATATAAACCTTCCTCTTGAATCACTCTACCTATTAAAAACAAAAGGCTGCAAAATCCGCTGCGTAGCTTTAAAAATTTGAGCATATATAGGGAGAGACAGCAACAGCGACTTTCGTTTTATACTATGTACCTAGCTACTCGCCCCGGCTACGCACGAGTGGTCATGTATTATACATATAAACCATCCTCTTGAATCACTTTACCTATTAAAAAAACCTTTAAAGATTTTAGCATACATAGGGACAGACAGCGACTTTGTTCTATACTATGTAATGAAATAATACTTTAACATAACTTAGTATTGTATTTAATAACAAATAATAATAGAAATAGAAATATTATAATATTCATTACAAGCACTTTTGAATAGTCATATTTTGATTCCACCACTCATTCGGAATGCAGATTCATCACAAGAAGAATGAGCAAGAAACTTGTCTGTTGCTCTTTTGAATAGATGTTTTTTTTATATAAATAATTACAGTATAACAAGTAAGAGGCATGCGATAATCAACAAAGAAATCGCTACGCACTCATTATTAGTGTAATCAGATAATATTGTCAGTGCTATGGATTTTAAGTTTTGTTATTAAGAGCACTGCGTATACCTTCTTATTAAATATATTATAAAAATATAGTATACCTTCTTATAAAAATTAACTGTAGTAAGGTCGTAAGTGTGTATGGGCTTTTTAATAACCACGTCCCTAAACTAATTGGCACAATGGCAAATGACAGGCTGCCTCCACATGAGCATGTTATTAACATATCTCTTCGTGCGTAAATTCATTAACTATATATGTACACATGAGTGTACAGAGTGTAAACTTGAGCACTAACTAAATCTGGAACATGGTATTAGTGAAACTAAATTATAAACAACTAGACGTTACCCGCGATTTCGTCTGCAATTTTCGTTCCTTACTACATCCCCTTCAGGATTTTTTTTCTTGAGAGAAAATACAGACTATATCTGGTCTCCTCTGTCCGATGTAATCTATCACATAACATATTTTAAAGTAATTTGCACTTTAAAATATGTTACCTAAAACTTAACAAATAGGCAAACAGACAGTAACACATAAATATTGTCATATATCTGAAGACGGAATCAGTGATACAGATAGTATATATTTATTATATTTCCATGACATATATTACTAGCTGCACCCCCGACTTCGTCCGCGTGGAATTTATCTATATTTTGCAAAAATAGTTACAGTTAAATAGCATAAGTTACTCTTTATTACATCAGCTACCTGCCAAAAAAAGTCCCGTCAAAATCGGTCCAGCTATTTCAGAGATTAACCTGAACAAACAGACAGACAGACAGACAAAAATTGTAAAAATGACATTTTGGTGTATATACCGTATTTATATTCATGTGCATGTAGTAAAAAACGGTTATTTCTATATTACAAACAGACACTGCATTTTTTTATATGTATAGATATACATATAAAAAAATGAGCACTGGCTGAAAAGCTTTCACTCTGTATATTAAATATTCTGTAATACATACGTGTTCCATAACAAACTGTTTTGTGTGGGTGCTTCAAACAAGGTTCTAGATTCGATTTCCTACTAAGAAAATGAATGAAATAACAGTAATTCTCATTAACATAGTAAGTTAAAGATGTTAACCAATTTTAAAAGGCAGACGTTCAGTTTTTTATAAGTTTTTAAAGTTATATAAGTTACGCGATATATTCACCAATTTTCGACTGATTTTACCCCTCCG